GTTGAAGATGGATGTTGTTGATCTGTTTTCCCCTGCAGGTAGTTTTGTTTTTGAGTGTCCAGAGCCGCCAGAGTAAAACTTGAAAACAGTGACGTCCTGTGTAGACCTGAAAGCAGTTTCTATGACATTACCGATGTATTATAAGCTTCACAGATATACGTGTGATCGGTTTTAGTGGCAACCTCAGAATCCAATAACTCCCACCCCTCCTGTAATTTACTTTTATTTTTCAAATAAATATTTTTCTAAAATGCAGGTACCGATGATTCTGGACCAGAGTTGACCAAGTAGTTTTGCAAAAACACTTTACTGATTTTAGAGCAACTTAAATAACATATATTATCATTAAAAAATGAAAACCTTTTTGTTTTTGGTTTTCACATGTGGTCCATCCTTCGTTTATGCCCTGAATCCACCCACCCCAGCCCCTCCCAGCTTTTATTCTCTTTCAGAGGCCTGTTTTAGCTCTTACAAAATTAGATGTTCGCTGTACATTGGCGATATGGCAATTGATGTTCCACTGATGTCAAAATAAATGAACATTTTTGTCTAAAAGTTAAGACCAATTTTCAGGCTAAAACACTTTCGTAACACAGATCCCAGTTCTTTCCAACTTACTGCCTTCACTGCGTTCTTTCACGTCCGCCACAGGAATGGCGCCTTCTTTCTTGCTCCCCTTCTTCGCATGTTTGGTTGCCGCCGCCAAGCCTTTCTTGGTAGTCTTCTTCGCTCCACGAATCACCCTGCAGCAGATGGAACAGAAGTCTAGAGGAGGAACTTCGTCCATCGCCCCCAGCTCTATTGCAGACACATAACGCTTCATCAACCGTCGCCTAAGATTAAACACATTATATTATATTATATTATATTATATTATATTATATTATATTATATTAATAGTGTACAATATAAATCATGTAATTCATTCTATCATTTCATCGTATATTAAAATGTAGGGGAGGGAGCCAGCAAACGGACGTGACCAGTAAGAGCTCAATATAAACTTTCAGTATTTTAAAAATATAGGAAAATATATCCTATTGTTATATTGTAATGAAAATAAGTCATAAGTACTAATATCATTTGGTTCATTTAGTGAAATGAATTTTACAGTTAATGACTGATGAAACCTTTATGTCAAAGAGTCAAACAGTGCAAGTAAAAGGACCAAACAGCACAACTAATGGAAAGTTACGGCTAGCAACAAGAGAGATTAGTTATCATACTTTAATGAGGAAGTAATGGAAAATCTGTATTAATAGAAGTCGTGAACTTAAGGCGACTCAGACACCATTACCAATTACGCAATTACAATACTTTGATTGATGGATTATATTGCAAAGTTATCGAAAAATGAAATAATAATAGATATTACGTAAGAGCGCTAGCCATGACACCATTACCAAATAAGGTAATTTTATTAAATTGACGGTTAGCTTAGAATAAAAAATTGTGGAAACCAAAGAATCCTTGTAATGACTCACGGTATTGGAAGGTGGCACGATAAGTAAAAGAAGAAGACTTTTGTGATTGTAGAATGAGAGTAGACTCTATACGAATTAATCTTTTTGGCGCCATAAGAGTATGTTCTTCTTAGTGTTAATAATTTGGTTTAAGTTACAATACCATAGTTATGATATGGAAAATGAACCCATATCCTATAATGCTTCTTTTTCTATCTATACATATACATCGCAATTCAATTGTGATTTTTTTTAGAATATTTACCAACCTTTCTCGGAGTGTCGCACAGCACAAACATAGGAGGAAACTAAAAATAATCACTGCCAGTAAAACCAATACAGCTAACCCACAGATGACGATAGGATCAACTTCTCCGTCGTTAGTATCTGTCATTGCTCTAGGTAAAAAGTGAGAGAAACAGCAAGTAGGAGAAAGAAAGAGAGAGGGAATTTCCAATTATTTTCACCATCATGAATAGATTGAAATAAATGAAATACATCTAAACAGAGAAATAAATGCTTGAGTTTACAACGAAAATAATTGCTGTTCACTAAAAGAGCTGCAAGCACAACAACTGCGTTTGAGTGGCTTACCTGATGCATTAGAGAGCATAGAATACTTTTTTTATTTACAGTAATCTGCAGTTTGTTTTGTTTGTTTCTATGGAAGTGCAGTGTGACGTCACAGTCTGCATATGTCGTCACGCGCAGGAGGATGCATAGCGTCATGATGCCTGTAACGTAGACAGGTGACACTCAGTTACAAGACTCCTTTCTTGGCGTACCGTGCTATTCATACATTTTTTAATTTGATTTATTTCACACTTAAAGTGTGAATTATAGTCTATAAAATTTTTTTAAAAAATATTATAGATACACGGATGGCTCAAAAAGGTGAAAACACTTAT